TTCCTGGAGGATCATTCCATCTTAGAGCTATTCCAATCTGGCTTTAAACCTCTCCACAGCACTGAAACTGCCCTGATGAAGGTCTTTAACAACATCTTAAGATCCACAGATACTGGAGATTCTGTGCTGCTTGTCCTGTTGGACCTCACAGCCGCCTTTGACACCATCGACCATGAGATCCTCATTGCTAGGTTGGAGCAGTGGGTGGGCGTCACAGGGTCAGCCCTCAATTGGTTCAGATCTTACCTCACTGACAGATCCTTTTGTGTCTCCATCAAGGATTTTAGTTCCGCAGAGGCAGAGCTTAAATGGGGGGTTCCGCAGGGGTCTATCCTGGGACCCCTCCTATTCTCTTTATACCTGCTGCCGCTTGGTGCTATTTTCCAGAAACACAACATGCCCTTCCACTTCTATGCCGATGACTGTCAAATTCACTTCCCCCTAAGACACAATGGTACATGCTCTATTCAACCGCTGCTCGACTGCCTGGCGGACATCAGGGACTGGATGGCTTTAAACTTCTTAAGTTTCAATGAAAAGAAGTCTGAAGTCATGTTGTTCCCTCCCAACAACACGATCACAAACCACTGCATCGACCTTTCTGCTCTAACCCTGTCAGAAAAACAAAGAGTCACTAATCTGGGCGTGATAATGGACCCTTCCCTGAAACTTAACAATCATGTAAACATGATTGTTAAATCATGCTTCTTCCAACTGAGGCGGCTGTCTAAACTGAAGCCCATATTGTCCAAAAAGAACCTGGAGACAGTAATGCATGCATTCATTACATCTAGTCTTGATTACTGCAATTCACTCCTGTTTGGTATCAGTCAGACCTCCATTGCACGACTACAACTGGTCCAGAATGCAGCAGCCCCATTTTTAACCAGTACAGGCAAAAGAGAGCACATTACACCAGTTTTGGCCTCACTGCACTGGTTACCGGTTCACCTTCGAATCCAGTTCAAAATACTCCTGTATGTCTACAAATCACTGAACAGTGTCGCCCCCC